AGGTCTTTTCCAACCTAGACGATTCTATGATTCTATGATTTGTACCAAGGTTCTTACCAGCTATTGCTCATCTGTTTCCTACATCTTTTTGGTGCCAGTCCTTACGGTAGCCAGTTTACCAACAGCTGGTAGGTCTTGGACTCTTTTGGGCACGTTAACTAGGTCCAGACATCACAGCACCCCCACCAGCCCCAGAGGCTCCACACAAAGACTGGATGTGCTGCAATATGCTGTCAGCTGTAGAAGAAACAAACTACTTGGTTCCTGAAGTAATGAACTGGTTTTTATTTTGGGCATTGCAGGTACACAGAGTAATACCTAATGTTTTGTAAGCGTAGACTTAGCAATTTATAAGCTTGGACAGAGAACCATTCTCTAAATAATCTTTTAAATGTACGCTCTCTCCAGCTTCTGATTTTTTAACCTTATCTCTTACTTCCATAGGATAGACCAGAGGAATTGGTCCCTGAGACCAAAATCCCATTTTCTCCTACCCCAGGAACCCCTTTTCTTACTAATTCCCAGTGACGAGCTAAATGTCAGTGCCTGAACTCGTCAATACTGGGCTGGCATCCTTAAGCTTTTTCTCTGTTGTGTAGCTGCACACGCTAGGGGAGAGCAACTGAGCCAGTTGTAAGGTAGTCTTCAGGGGGTCCCAAGAAGCCCCTGCCCGTCTCTGAATCACGGTGCTGATCAGGTGGCGACTAGGTACTCACCTGCTCGGACTGGGAGACACCAGGTGTGAAGGATGCCTGTACTCGGACAGTGGGAAGCGTCCCCGAGAGGAGGTGGCTGCTTGACCCAGGGAGCTCCTTTTGAGTTCTGCAGAGCGCGAGAGCCATCTGGTGATAGCAGCCTCAACTCGAGAACCGAAGGAGCCGAGTCAAGGCCTCCCCAGCAATCTCCGACTGCCATTAGCGGTAAGCTTGTATGCAAAGCACTGACAAGATCTGTTAATGGCTTATTTTGTGCAATAACTTGTGTGTGCACGCTAGTATCTATGATTATTTCTCTATACGCATAATTCCTTGCGGAAAGACATTGGTATGCATAATTCTGTAGGTGCACTGCAAGTTTGTGCTTGGTTGTGTTTTAAGTACCTGACTGTAGCTCGTTGAACGTGCTGACAGTGAGGTGGACGTGCTGTCGGGAAGTGTCTGTGTGAAGAGGCTAGTAAAAATCATTTTGTATCTTTCCC